ATTTATCTCTCTGCCCTTCAATTAACCCCACATGTGTTTATTGGCCAGGTTGGCACAATAAACTAACTACCTCAAGGAGCAAACCCTATGGAATAGATATAGGTGTACATAGTGATAAAGATTTCAGGGAAAATAGCTCACACAGTTGTGGAAGCTGGCAAATCCTAAATTCACAAGTCAAGTATCAGGGTAGAGGTTTCTCTTGACACACATGGTTATAGGGACAGGTGAATTCAAAATCAGCAAGTCAAGTGAAGGCTCCTGACTCATGTCCCAAGAACGGTAGATCAGAAAATGAGGTGGCAGATGCAGAATTGTGTGAGGGGCCAGCTTTGCCACAACATTCAACTACAAATTGTATGAAGGCCACACCCCAATGGAAATTCCCTTACATCTGATCACAGCAGGGGCTAATTACACAGCACTGAGAACATGACCCAGGCAAGTTTACACATAACATTAACCGTCACTGCACCTGGTGCAATAAGCGTCCTCAGCATTTGACAACCATCCTTGTCCATAGTAGACATTCTACTGAAAGAGAAGACCTTCCCCATGCATTCAAGCATTCTCTGTGATCATTTTCCATAAGGTGACATTGGTTGAATGCTCCACCTGTCCTGATAAGGTACACCAGGTCCACCCTATGGTACATGCATGCATTACTTTCAAAGTTGGAAGAATAATAATTTTTCTTTATGTAATAAGGCATAGACATCATAAACATCTCTATGCTAGGGTGTTTCCAGACACATACGCACATTTTCACATTTCTGACTCAAGTTTACTAGCGCCAGCAGGGTATTTCCTTTCTTTAAAATTTGCATTCAAAGCAAGCCTTTCCCATATCTTTGCAATGACCTCCAATGCAAGGTAGGTCTAACTGGACTCTGTTCTTGAATATTTTAAACAATAAGCATAAATGTGTAGGGGAAGGTAAGATATGAATTATTTAACAGCAGAGGTTAAATCCAAATGAGCAAACCAACTTTGGGAACTCATTTGCTCATTTATATCCCCATGCCATGGCTGGTCTTCAGCACACTATACATGACCGACCAGCCAACCTGAATAATTGATACCAGATAGATGAGGGAGATCCTCATTGCCCATTCATTCCTCCTCTTTGGCATTTTATCACCTCCTTTCAGATCCTTCTTC